TTTTATCCAGCTGCCATCAACTCAAGGTTATTGGTATGTTTTGGTAATGGTCTGCATGTTTTCCCACTGGGGTGAAGCTTTTCCCTGCAGGCAAGCAACAGCCATGGCAGTTGGAAAATCCTACTAGAAAAAATTAGTCCACTATGGGGAGTCCCCTGTGAACTTCACAGTGATAGGGGAACTCACTTTACTGGCCAGATTTTTCAAAATCTTTGTAAAATTTGGCCATATTTCAACATTTTCAGGGTGCCTACCATCCCCAGTCCTCAGGCCTGGTGGAGAGGACCAATGGAATAAATAAAACACAATTGGCTAAGTTCACAGAGGCATTTCACCTCCCCTGGCCCAAAGCACTCCCCCTAGTGCTGCTTATCCTCCAATTCACCCTTCCTGGAAAACATCAACTGTCACCTTATGAAATTATAACCGAAAGGCCCATATATATAGGAATGAAAATAACCAATCCAACTTTTCTCAAGGGAGATAAATTGCAATATTGGGAGGGATTCATTTATTATCTTAAAAAAGCCAGTAAACTTGGTAAAGAATTCCTTTCACAGTGTGCTCCCTGAAGATAAGGTACCTGGTCAAGATCTGCAGCCTGGAGATTTTGTCTATTGAAAAAGACATTTAATAAGAGATTCTCTTCAACCTCGATGGAAAGCCCCATACTAGGTGCTATTAACTAATCCACATGCAGCAAAATTAGAGGGTATAGCCTCATGGATTCACATCTCTCATCTTAAAAAGACACAAACTCCTGAGTGGACTATAAACTCCCATCAAAGACCTTCACCTCCAGTTCACTAAACATCGACTTTCAATCCAGAATAGAAGCAGATGACAGCTGTTGTGGACGGCTTAACCCCAAGACACAGGACCAGGCCTGTATACAAAAGAATGCCTATGTTTATCGTATAATAACCATTACAATTATTGTCCTAGAGCTACTGGCAACTGCTGTCTTATAAGAACAGGACACTTGCCTTGTCTGATTAAACATCCTTTTAGTAGCTAAAATGAATTTTACAACCTTGCTATTATTGACCCTATATCCCTACACCTTCTTGCCATTGCCACCCACTGACTCCAATGAAACAAACCTGTTTCTACAATGGACTCAGGATTATGCAGACAGATTACAAAAGGACACCTGCTGGATATGCAGACTTATGCCTCTTTCCAGTGGCCCTGGCCTGCCATGGTTGGTATCCTCCTTCCAAGGTTAGGACTGAATAGAATACCAAAAATTTATTACATCACAGAAATGGTCTGGTATTCTTAGTGCTGGCATAACAGAACAAGGAAGATGGGAAAAGTTTTTCAATGGAAAGGACCAGCTCATTAGCTCTCACTTTAGCATCCCCCACAACTAAAACAAAAGGTGGTAACTATGCCCCAAACAACAGCCCATTTCAAAATGGAAGAATGCAAATTTGGGATGAATTTATCTGGCCCACCCTTTCATTTGGCCAACTCAGCCAAAATGCTGGGAACAAAGAAACCACACCAAGGATTTCTGACCAGACAGTACGAGAAATGTGGGGTGGATACAAGGAGAACGCTGTGACCACGTTATCATATTACAAGACACTGACTGGCATGCCACTGATTGGCTGTAGCAACTAGGTATTTATCAGCTAGCACCAAATGGGACGTATTGGCTGTGTGGTACTAACTTATGGCTGTGGGCACCTCCAGGGTGATTAGGACAATATTCCCTAGGTTATGCTAAGAACAAGGATGAATAATTCAGACCCTGCCCAAACCAGCAAGCCTTTTTCATTTACGATCTCACTGGACACATTCAGTATTCCAGTGGCATGATCACTTGAAGATTGAAGGTAGGTACTAAGAGCGTTGTATGGCATATAGATGCCTTAATGAATTATACCAAGAAGGCCCTAAATGATAGCCAGATGAGTATGTCGTTGCTAAACAATGAGGTCATGCTTTATACTCCCAGCAACACAGCGGGGGGGCCTGCACCACCATAAAAACTGAATGTTGTGTGTATATTCCACATGAATCGAAGAACATAACCCGACTTATGACTGATATGAAAAGCCAGATAACCAACCTGTCAGATCCAAAACCCTCACTCATCAATTGGTTGAGCGATTGGTTTGCATCCTGGGGAAGCTGGTGGCAGAAGCTGTTGCTTATAATAGGAATAATAATAAGAATTTCTGTTCTGTCCTGTTTCTGCTTACAGTGTTGTTATGGTATGTGCTTGCAAATAAGTCCACACACCACTGAAAGGTCTAGGGTAATGATTGCCCAGGGGATTGCTGTAATTGAGGAGGCAGTAATATAACCTGACACACCTTCCAGGTTTGCTTCCTATTTGTCGCTATAAATCTGGTCTAGGGACATATATACATATATATGTGTGCGTGTGTGTATTTTTTTTCTTTTCCTTTTCTCCCACTTTTTTTTTTTTTTTTTTTTTTTTTTAGATCTTCATGGTACATAACATCTTACGAATGAGCCTTCCTAGCAACATGGGACCTGAACCTCCAGGAGTTAACCATCCTAGTGAGGAGAAACCAGGTCAAAAGAAAAGGAAGAGAAAGCAACCTAGGTCAGAAAGCTGTATTCCTTCTGAAATGCTTTCTCCAAAAGACTTTAAAGAAAAAGAAGGGAAAATGTGAACGGAAATTAAATCTTGAGACCCCAAACTCATTAAGCCAAAGGGAAAAGCTAAGCTGGGAACTGGGTCATGCAAACCTGCCTCCCCCTTTTGGTTTCTAGATAAGATGGCTGCAAGATGAAAAGCTACATGCCTCCTCCATATTTTGCCCACAAAGAAAATTCCTAGTGAGCTGCAAGATCTTTTAAGGTTGTTCTGTTAAAATTTCACTACGGCAATGTAAATGGATAGATAATCTTTACAGATGCAGTCACCCCGCTGCCCACCAGACACAAATGCACATCTCATTGCTCCCCTGCCCCATTTTGTCTATGCTACCTTATGTAAAAATGTAGATGTCCTGCATTTTTCCTCTGCTCCATTTGTCTATGTCATCTTATATATATAAAATCAGATTCACTGAGCTAGACACAGGCATGAATGACTACTTTTCCTTATCCCCCTCATACATGAAAATTACGTACTTCTCAAAATCCCACCTTTTCCCCTTTAAATTTGGAACCTTCAAAATCATCTTCAGAAAAGGCATAGAACTGTCTCCTGGGCATGCATCCTTAACTTTGGCAAATCAATCTCCTAAAATGATTGAGAGTTGTCTCATAATTTTTCTCGATTGACACCTTTATAAAAGGACTGGAGGAAATTAGGCATGTTTGCCCTTCCTTCTTGCATCATGTGAGGACACCATCATATCAGGACAACAGGACAGGATCTTGGGACAGGACACCATCTCGGAAGCAGAGACTGGGCCTCTCCATCAGACAGTAAACCGGCTGGCACCTGGGCGACCCACTCTCCAGACCTGTGAGAAAAGAAATTTCTGTTCTTTACACATTACCCAGTCTGTGTGGTATTTTGTTATAGCATCATAAACAGAATAAGACAAAAGTCTTTAAACAATGAATGGATTTCGAAAGGAGTAAAAGATGGGCTGGGCATGGTGGCTCACGCCTGTAGTCCTGGCACTTTGGAAGGCTGAGGTGGGCAGACTGCTTGAGCTCAGGAGTTCCAGACCAGCCTGGGCAACATGGCAAAACCCCATCTCTAAGGAAAAAAAGAAAAGAAAAGAAAAAAAAAAAAGGGAATGGAGGGGTGGGAGTTTTATAGACAAGAAAACAATAAGCAAACAGATAAGCAAAAGCACGTCCTCAGTAATTCCATGTTGCTTTATCTGTATTCATGACCATGTTTACAAATCCCTTTTGGAATTCTGCTGACTACTGGTATTTGCGATTTTTGGCATTACCCCTCATCCACTTTTGAAAACCTGGAGAACATTTTCTCTATCTTTAATCTTCATATACAGGCTTAATGAATTCTGATAATTATTAATGGAAATTACATAACATTAATTTATTCGCCAATATTTATTGGACCCTTGATATGTTCAAGATCCTGTAGCTGGTGCTGTTGGACTTATTAAGATGAACTATATATACAACTACTCTATGTATACAAACAACTACTCTACAAAGCAGAAAACTGTCAAGTGCCTTAAAGGAGTTGAAACTATTTGCTACAGGAGGGCTGAGAGAAGAGAGAACGTCTACAATTTTTTTTTCTTTCCAATTCTCTTCCTACAACTAATTCATCCGACCTTGGAGGTTTGATCTTATTAAAAAAAAAAAAAGTTAACTGTTCTTTTACAACCTCCTCTTCAAGATTATTTGTCAGGGTTTGCTGTGCCCTTCGCAGATATTTCTTCACCCAAAGAGTTGAGGCAATTAGGAGCCATTGCCTTCTCTCTGCCATTGGGTTCGAGAAAGCACCATACATTGTCCGCAGAGACTTTACTCAGGTTTACACTTTCTTGTTCTGAATTATCAAAAATTAGTGGGGCGTGATGGCACACGCCTGTAGTCCTAGCTACTGGGGAGGCTGAAGCAGGAGAATCACTTTAACCTGGAAGGCGGAGGTTGCAGTGAGCCGAGATCGCACCACTGCACTCCAGCCTGGGCAAAAGAGAGGCTCCATGCCAAGAAAGAAAAAAAAAAAGTATCTGATTGTGTTTAGCATATCTGCAATATCCCCTTGACTTTGGCCTTTAGCCTCTTTATGAGTACCCTGATGGAGGAAGGCCCAGGAAGTGGTAGCCTTCCTGGTTTGTGACGCACTGTGTATGTTTTGCGTGTTTGTTTAACATCGGAATGGCCCTGAAGGCTGGAACATCTTATCTGTGTTTGAAAATTATGGAAACTCTGATCCTCTGGGAGAATAATTTTTCCAAGGTCTCAGATCTCTAAGGTAGTAGACCTTGGATCTGAACATTGCTATTTCTGACCTTAAAGCCCATGCATTTCTCACAACATATTAACCATGATAAAGTGTTTTTAAAGTTAGTTCATCTTTTCTGGTTTTTGTGAAAGTCTTTTAGAAATCTCAGCTCATCACAAAGTTTCCTGTTCAGTCTCGTGGGTTTCATGTACTCAGCATTTATTTGCCAGTCAAGGTCTAGGATGGCTGCTGTCCTCTGCAGCAGCCTCAAGCCTATTCATTATTGTCATTTACAATTTTACAGTCATAATTATTTCTCTGTATAATAGCATTCTGAGATTTTCCAAAATTTCCCCCTGTCCTTGTTTTACAGTGCGCAGAATTCACTTTTGCTCTAACTTGACTCTAAGATGACACAATTTCCCAGTTTTTTCTTTTTTTAACGGCTGGGGGATGGGGGGACAGGGAACAGAACACAGTGGTCTAGCTAACCGGTTTCCGCTAGACGTCCAGCTATCTTTTAAAATATTTTGTTTCTGCATGGCAACTCCAGGCGCTAAGAAACCACCCAGCTTACGACGGAACCTAGAGGATAGGTAAAGGTCCCCTGCGCTGGCCCCGCCCCGTGGGACTTGGCGGCGTGGACGGGAGAGGCGGGGCGGGGCCGCACTTTGCTCGCCACTGTCTTTATAGGTCACCCGGAAGGCACGCGGGGCCTCGGCGCGCTGCTCCCAGTGGGGCCTCTCCGCCACTCCAGTCCCGCGCCCTTCGCCACGGCCCTCCGGCGTCTGCGCCGCAGCTGCGGCCCCCGCCTCTTTGGAGTCTCTCGCGGCCGCAGCCCGCGGCCTGCGTCGCTTCCGGCAGTTCCGGACCGCGGGCGATGGCTGCCGCTGGGGGCGCCCGGCTGCTGCGCGCCGCTTCTGCGGTACTCGGCGGCCCGGCCGGCCGGTGGCTGCACCACGCTGGGTCCCGCGCTGGAGTCAGCGGCCTGCTGAGGAGCCGGGCGCCGGGCGGGAGCGCCGGGGCGAGCCGGCCGCTGAGCGTGTCGGCGCGGGCGCGGAGCAGGTAGGGCGCCATGTGGGCGCGGGCCGGGGTCCCCAGTGGGTGGCGTCTGGCTGGTTGGGCCCAGTCTGGTTCCGCCGCCTTTTACGCGCCGGGCCCACACCCTGGAGGCCTGCCTCTCGCCTCGCTCTTCTGGGGTGCCCTCGCGGCCCCGTCTCGCTGCTCGGTGGCGTCGCTGCCTCCCTTCCGTCGCACCGCAAAGTTCCTTCCCGTATTACCCACTCCCGGCGGGAATCGGGGACTCTGGATGCCCAGCTACCTTTCCCAGCGCCTCCCGTGCCCACAGGAAAGCCGGGACTTTGCTGGTGCTTGTTCTCCGTGTGATTTGTCTGGGATTTGACCTTTGCTCTGCCCGAAACTGGCAGTGACCTTCGCGACAGGCTCCCCTGCTGCTGTCCTGGCCTGACACTCCTGCCAGCCGTTTCTTTCCCGGCCTTGCCCTGCTTTGGGAGGACACCTAGGTCCCAGGTCTTTGTCAGGGGGTGTCCAGGTAGAATACACCAAGCCCATAACCTCTGCTGCTCTGTAGGCCCTTTGCTAGTTGCTCAAGTGTTGAAAGCCCCTGCGTTGAAGTAATCCGCCGGGACTTGAAACTTCGCTTTGGCACGGATTGTCTGACGTGCCTAACTTCGCCAGTGCTTAGGAACCCAGTTTCCCCATTTGCAAGTTGAAGATAATAACAGTTTAGACCTCCTACGGTTAATTGAAGAATAAATGAGTTAATACAGCGATACGGGTAGTCTTGTGCCTGGCACATAGTGAGGGCTCAGTAAATGCCACTTGGTGGTAGCAGCAGCAGCAGCAGCAGCAGCAGCAGCAGCAGCCGCCGCCGCCGCCTCCTAGGCTCACAATATTGAGAGGATTTTGTTTTAAATATTTTAAGAGATGTGAACAATTTCCCCCAAATGTGTTGAAGTTTTAGGTTCTTGGGCATATTTGTTTTTCAAAGACACTCCCTAGATGTACTAGAGATAAAATTTACACATGATTTCTAGCAGCAAGGAGGCTAGCGACATGGTGGCGATTTATATAAAGCAGATCTCTCAACAGCCCTTTGACCCCATGATGTAGGGTAGCAGGAATAGAGAACTAGAGGGAGAGTATGTTGGATTTATATGCTGCTTTTTCTAGTTTCTTCTTGAGAAGGTCTCTCTGAGAGTAGGGTGTAAGACTTTCAGTCATCTTTTCCCCACTAATCCCGTTATCTAGTGGGTGCTCCATACATTTTTGTTGTGTGAACTTTGGGGGAAATCAGGAAGAAGGCAAGCCAGATTTATTTGTTCCTGTTTCCTCTGCATTTCCCTGCCTTTGATCTGTGTGGGTGCCTTGCTTTCTGTTATACAGTGGATGAGTTTTGGACAATTGTGTAAATTGGGACAGATACTGAACATACTTGTGTAACTGGTACAAGGGAATGTGAATGTTTTTGTAATAATTGGGAGTTATCTTTCTCAGATTTGTTTTTTTAGATTTGGATATGTCAGGTTGTCTTAAAGGGGAGCACATCTATTTCCTCATAATCCTGCTGCCTCTTTATTGGCACAATTTCTTTTTTTTTTTGAGATGGAGTCTCGCTCTGTTGCCCAGGCTAGATTGCAGTGGCGCAATCTCGGCTCACTGCAAGCTCAGCCTCCCTGGTTCACGCCATTCTCCTGCCTCAGCCTCCCGAGTAGCTGGGACTCACAGGCGCCCGCCACCACGCCCGGCTAATTTTTTGTATTTTTAATAGAGACGGGGTTTCACCTTGTTTGCCAGGATGGTATCGATCTCCTGACCTCGTGATCCGCCCTCCTCGGCCTCCCAAAGTGCTTGGATTACAGGCGTGAGCCACCGCGCCTGGCCTGGCACAATTTCTATTCATGGTCTTATCATTTCTGTTACAGACCTTGGAGCTACAACTGGATTTTCCAGTTCTTACTGTGTTAATGAAACGTGTGCTGTCCAATACAGTAGCTACTTATCACATATGGCTATTGAAGTTTAAGATAATTAAAGGTAAATAAAATTAAAGATTCAATCTCCCAGTTACACTAGCCACATTTCAGGTACTCAGTAGCCACATGTGGCTAGTGGCTGCTGTATTGGACATTGCAGGTATGTGTAGAACATCTTTGTTATGGCACAAAGTTCTTAGGGACAGGCAGAGCAGTTCTAGAAACTGTAGTTCTGTGTTTGAAGTTTAACAACTCGATAAGCTATCAGTAATTGAGAGTCAGAAAAACTCCTTTTACTCTAAAATACAGTGACACAATACTTTACATTTTGTAGTGATTTAGGTAACAAAGAGCTTTCACGTGTATTATTTCATGTGACTCTTGAGACAATTCTATGAGGTAGGGAGGGTAGGTAAATGGAAATACATATTTCATATTAAGTAGCTGACAAAACTAGGACTAGTACTCAAGAAGTTTTTGTGAATTTAAAAAAATTTTTAATTTCTATTTATTTTTAAAGTTTCAGTAGTTTTTGGGGCTCAGGTGGTGTTTGGTTAATGGGTACGTTCTTTAATGGTGATTTTGGTGTACTCTTCACCTGAGTGCAGTGGTGCCATCATGGCTCACTGCAACCTCTGCCTCCCAGGTTCAAGTGATTCTTGTGCCTCAGCCACTCGAATAGCTGGGATTACAGGTGCGCGCCATCACACTTGGCTAAGTTTTGTAGTTTTAGTATAGATGAGGTTTCACCATGTTGGCCAGCCTGGTCTCGTACCCCTGGCCTCAAGTAATCTGCCTGCTTCAGCCTCCCAAAGTATTGGGATTACAGGTGTGAGTGACCACTCCCGGCATAGTGTCTACATCTTCTGACTCTTAGGTTCCATACTCTTTCAACTGAAGAATTACATTTTTCTCTCGTTTCCACTTCCTCTCCTATTCTTTCGTAAACCTGTTAGTACTCTTACTTGGCAGTTTTTTGTAGGGCTGTTGATTTTTAATACAGACCAACAGGTTGGACTTCTTAGCAAAAGGGCTTGGTCTTTAAATAAAAGTTGTTAATCAGTGTTTGTTGAATTCTACTATGTGTTACATATTTTGCATACATTGTCAGAACTGTAAGATTAATGTTGTCCTGATTTTATAGAAGGGGAGGCTGATGTAAAAGAGATTTTGAATTCCTTTGCTGTAAGCTTAACTCTAGAGTGCTTCAGAAGAACAACAACGCTAAAACCTCTGGCTTTCAGTAGTGTGTATAAATGATGGAATTCTTTCTAAGGTACTTCCTGTAGCTTTAGCTACCAGGCATTCATTGATGTCAAATCTCTAGACTTCCCTGCTGGGCTCAGACCCATACCCTTATTTCCATCTGGCTTTTGGACATTCTTATCCGGCTTTTTCATTATTAAATTCAGCAGGTCTAATCTTCAACTTATTTCCGTCTTCCCCAAAGCTCCTTTGTTTCCTGTCTTAAATCTAGGTTAAATGGTACCACCTAATTGCGTGAGCCGGAAATCCCAGTGTTTTTCTTCCCCACTTTTCCATTTAGCTTAAGTAGATGGTCACTAAAACCTTTCGGTCTACCTCCTGGATGTCTGTTACGTCACTGTGTTCTCCGTCCTTGATTAGTTTATGCTGTTTTGATAACCTCCAAAGTGGTCTCCCTGCCTCTGGGGTATTTTCATTCTCAGTCATTCTACTTTGAAAAAAATTGCAGTTATTCATATTGAAAGTCATGAATAATATGTGGGAATACTAGTTTTAAAGCATTTTTGGCTGTGAAAAGAAGTTGGAGAGCGCAGGCCCTTTTGAGGAACATTCCTGAACACACACACCCTTTTGATGAATTTTAATGAATAGAATCCTGGTTTTTTTTCCAGTGTTATAATATTAGGGAGGGCGTTATCCAGTAGGGCTTCAGTTGCCTCATTTGTGAAATGGGATCATTGGACTTGGTAACTTTTGAGATAGTGATGGCTCTGAAATTATTTAATTCTGAGTTTTACTTATATTAAAGATTTGTTTGATGGGCTATTGCCATCTATTGGTAGTAGTAAGAATAACAACTCATTATTTTAAGTTGAAGAGAATCTTTTCAAGTGTGAGGTAAAAATTAAAATGACCAATGGTGGAGGAATAAGGATCTAGTTGCTAGTATAATGTCTTCTCAAGTTTTGGAGGGATGTTTGTGAGAAGTGAAGGAAATTTAAGTCAGCTAGCTGATAGCTAACCTACTATCTTATAAAACATGTAAGGAGGTATTTATCTTACAGATTCAAACAAATAAAAAACTTTTTCTAGTCCCTTTGATTTGTAAGTATACAATGTGGACTGAAATGAGACGTCAAATACGCAGGAAACTATTAAACAACGTCTCTCAGCAATAGTAGTCTGTGTAGCACTTGCACAGCAGTTGCTGTGTTGAGAGCAGCTGGCTTTCTCCTTTTTTTTTTGGGGCCAGAGTTTCTTCTGCGCCCGGCTGGAGGACAAGTTGGGTGTGCTCTTCGCTCCACTGCCACCTCCGCCTTCCGGGTCAAGCGACTTTTCTGCTCAGCCCTCCAAGAAGTAGCTTGCGGCGTTACAGGCAATGTCCCACTATGTCTGAGGACCTAATATTTGGTTTTTTAGTAGAGCACGGGGTTTTCACCATGTTTGGCCCAGGCTGGGTCTTGGACTTCTGACCTCAAGGTGATCCGCCCGCCCTTGGCCCTCCCAAAGTGCAGTTCCGGCATGAGTACCATGCCGGCCTGCTTGGCTTTTTAAAGCTCCTACACCCCTGGGTCTAGTCTTTTATGGGCACATTCGCTGCTTTTTTCAGGTCATGGCGCACTACGTTTTTACGTGTTTTTTTTGAGACAGGTCCTTTGAAGCTGTTGGCCAGGTTAGAGTGGCATGGTTAATCACGGGCCTTCACTCTCTGAACTTCGGTCAGGTGACTCCACCTGCAAGGCCCCCTGAGTAGCTGGTTCTAAGGCAATACCACCCATGGCACTTTAATTTTTCACCACCTTACAACCTCTCATTTTTATTTTTATTTTGTAGCTAATATGGGTTCTCTCTAATGGTTGCCTCGGGCCGTTCAAGACTCCTGGGGCTCTAAGGCGTCCCAAGCCTCTGGCCCTCCCAAAAGTGCCTCTGTACAGGTGTGAGCCCCACACTGTGGCCTTTTCTTTTTTTTTTTTTTTTTTTGGAGGCAGGAGTCTTTCTTCTGTCCGCAGGCTGGAGTGGCAGTGGGCCCCTGTCGGCTCGACTGCAGCTCGCTCCCGGGGTTACCGCCTTCCCTGCTCAGCCTCGCACCGCGGAGTAGCTTGGGCTAAGGCGCCGCCACGTCGCCCCCCGCGCGCGGCTAAATTTTTTGTATTTTAGTAGAGACGGGGTTTCACCGTGTTAGCCAGGATGGTCTCGATCTCCTGACCTCGTGATCCCCCCTCCTCGGCCTCCCAAAGTGCAGGGATTACAGGCGTGAGCCACCGCGCTCGGCCGGCCTTTTCTTTTTAAACAACAGGGTCTTGCTATGTTGCCCAGGCTGGAGTGCAGTGGTGCAGTCATATCCCATTGCAGCCTCCTCCTCCTCCTGGGCTCAAGGGATCCTCCCGTCTCAGCCTCCCAATTAGCTGGGACTACAGATCACATCACCACACCTGGCTAATTATTTTATTTTTTGTGAAGATGGGATCTTGCCTTGTTGCCCAGGCTGGTCTCAAACTCCTGGCCTCAAACGATCTTCTCACTTCAGCTTCTCAAAGTACTGGGGTTACAGGTGCAAGCTATTGCACTGGCTTGTATGAGAGTAAAATAGAGTTCATGAGTGATAATAATTGCCAAATGTTTTATAACTGTGACTATTAGGGAGACATATACTGAGGCCATTTGACCAGGTAGTCATTGCCATTTCCTGTAAGGTAGTAGAGCTTATTATCTGGTAGCTGGGTAGATATAGATGCCTTTGATTTGTGTTGCCTTCTTCCCAAATAAGCTTTGGAAAGAAAAGAAAATACTTTCGGCTAGTCATGGTGGCTCAGGCCTGTAATCTCAGAGTTTTAGGAGGCCAGATTGAGAAAATGGCTTGAGGCCAGGAATTTGAGACCAGCTTGAGTAACATGGTGACACTCTGTCACTACAAAAAATGAAAATAAAAAAATTAGCCAGGCATGGTGTTGGGCACCTGTGTTCCCATCTACTCTGAAGGCCTTATAGGCTTTTAAACCAATTATTTTGAATTATGTTTTGAAATTACTAAAAATACTAAAGGACTGCTTTCTTTTCCAGCTCAGAAGATAAAATAACAGTCCACTTTATAAACCGTGATGGTGAAACATTAACAACCAAAGGAAAAGTTGGTGATTCTCTGCTAGATGTTGTGGTTGAAAATAATCTAGATATTGATGGCTTTGGTGAGTATGAAACGTTTCTTAAAATGCATAAGTGCAACTGTTAGATTTCAAATTTTTGTTTTGTTTTGTTTTGTTTTTTTAAGAAGTTTAACCTATAGCATGCTAGGTAAAATATTAACATTCGGGATGTGTTAGTGTTATATTCTTGTTTATAAATAATAATAGAGTGACACCGTTGTTCTGTTCTTCGTAGATTTAAATAACTCATGATCAGAAATCTGCTGTGGCCTCATTACCTTACTGTTTATGTATGCGATGCAAAGCTGATGGTACGGAGTAGAGTTAAAAGATACCAGGTTAGAGAGAATAAATGTCCTAGCACAGAGGGGTACTTAAATATCTTGAATGTCAGCTCACCTTCCTAGGAAAGGTAACTTATCCTAGAAAGTGATTTATTTAGAAAGTTGTCATTTTTAGACTTCTTACCATATGCCTTAACTACACGTGCAAAGCCTGTGTTCCTGCAGCTGCCCTTTTACACTTCCTGAGGCATACCCTGTATATCACTTGTCAGTTTTGTTCAAGCACTGTGTGTCTAGATTAGCAGTTCTCAGAGGGTTTCCTTGACCATTAGCATGAGTGTCACCTGGGAAATAGAGATTCTCAGACACTCCTCCCCCACCCGCCACCCCTGCCCCTGCCCCAGACTTACTGAGTCACAAAGTCTGGGATAGGTCCAGCATTGTGTGTTGTAACAGCTGTCTGTGTGATATTGATGCATGTTCAAGTTTGAGAACCACTGGTCTGGAATAAGGTTCAAGGAGTGTATCTGACTCTGCTTCTTTCAAGGCACTGTTCACATTACCTTTAAAGAACCATTTCTAGATCAGAATTAATTTATCTTTCTTCGGTTTGCCCATGATTTATTAAATCTACCTCTCTTTGTTAATGCTTTTAACAGTTTTCCTTTTTAGAGAGAATGGCTATCTCTCTTATTAGATTATTAGTTTTTGAAAGACTGCTCCATGAGGTTACTCAGGTACAGTAGACTTTGTCGAGAGTTGGCAATAATATTTGCTGAATATCTTTAAAAAAATTTTTTTTGACAGGATCTTGCTCTGTCACCCAGGCTGGAGTGCGGTGGTGTAATCACAGTTCACTGCAGCCTCAACCTCCTGGACTCAAGTGATCCTCCTGACTCTGCCTCCTTAGTAGCTGGGACTACAGGTGCACCATCACACCCGGCTGAATTTTGTATTTTTTGTAGAGACAGGGTTTTGCCACATTGCCCAACCTGGTCCTGAACTCCTGGGCTCAAGAGATCTTCCTGCCTTGGCTTCCCAAAGTGCTGGCATTACAGGCATGAGCCATCATGGATATCCTTGGATATCTAAATCAAATTTTTTTTTTTTGCTAGTTTTAAAATAATTATAACAACTAGAATTTGAGTGTATACTACATTCCAGCATATTTTAAATGAAGTAGACTTTTTTTTTTTTTAGCTCTCCATTTGATAGTTGAAGAAACTGAGTCTCATGGAAATTAAGTTTCCCTGGTTATACACGCAGGAAGTGAGAGGGCTAAGACTCAAACCTGTCTTGAAGTCAAGATTGGTGTATCTCATTGTGGTTTTGATTGCCATTTCTCTGGTGATTAGTGATGTGGAACATTTTCCCATGTGTTTGTTGGCTGCTTTTGTGTCTGTGTCTTCTTTTGAGAGGTGTCTGTTCATGTCTTTTTTTTTTTCCCAACTTTTATTTAGATTCAGGGAGTATATATGCAGGTTTGTTAAATGGATGTATCATGTGATGCTGAAGTCTGGGGTATGAATGATCCTGTCACCTAGGCAGTACGCTTAGTAACCAATAGGTAGTTTTCCTCCTTGCCCCTCTCCCTTCCCCCTCTGGTAGTGCCCAGTATCTGCTGTTCCCAACTTTATGTCCATGAGACCCAGTATTTAGCTTGCACTTTTAAGTGAGAACACTTTGCTTTTCTGGGTCTCTATTAATTTACTCAGGATAATGGCCTTGAGCTGTATCCATGTTGCTGGAAAGGGCGTAGTTTTGTTTTTTTCTAATGGCTTTGTATTCCGTGATATATATGTACTACATTTTCTTTATCCAATCCACCATGACGGGCACCCAGATTGATTCCATATCTTTGCTATTATGAGTAGTGCTGAGATAAACATACAAGCGCATGTGTCTTTTGGTAGAATGATTTGTTTTCTCCTGGGTATGTACCCAGTAGTAGGATTGTTTGGTTAAATGGTAGTTCCATTTTTAGTCCTTTGAGAAATCTCCAAACTGCTTTCCGCAGTGGCTTAACTAATTTACATTCCCACCAGCACTGGCTAAGTGTTTCCTTTTCTCTGTAGCCTTGCCAACATCTATAATTTTTTGACTTTTTAATGATACTCTTTATGACTGGTGCAAGATGGTATCTCATTGTGGTTTTGGTTTGCAGAGTGGAGTATTTCTTCATGTGTCATGTTTGTTGGCCACTTGTTTGTCGACAGTGAGACGAACTCTCACTGTCACCCAGGCTGGAGTGCCGTGGCACGATCTCGGCTCACTACAACCTTCACCTCCCAAGTTCAAGCGATTCTCATGCCTCGGTCTCCCGAGTAGCTGGAATTATAAAGGTGTGCCACCATGCCCAGCTAATTTTTATATTTTTAGTAGAGACAGAGTTTTGCTGCGTTGGCCAGGCTGGTCTTGAACTCCTGACCTCAAGTGATCCGCCCTCCTTGGCTTCCCAAAGTGCTGGGATTACAGGCGTGAGCCACCATGCTTGACCTCTGCCCACTTTTTAATGAGGTTATTTGTTTTTTGCTTGTTGATCTGTTTAAATTCCCTATAGATTCTGGATATTAGATCTTTGTCGGATGCACAGTTGGTGAATATTTTCTCTCATTCTGTAGGGTGTTTACTTTGCTTTTTTTAGTTTGTTTGTTTTTTGAGACGGAGTCTTGCTCTGTCGCCCAGGCTGGAGTGCAATGATGTGATCTTGGCTCACTGAAACCTCCACCTCCTCGGTTCAAGTGATTCTCCTGCCTCAGCCTCTTGAGTAGCTGGGATTACAGGCGCCCGCCACCATGCCCAGCTAATTTCTGTATTTTTAGTAGAGATAGAGTTTCACCATGTTGGCCAGGCTGGTCTCGAACTCCTGACCTCATGATCTGCCCGCCTTGGCCTCCCAAAGTGCTGGGAATACAGGTGTGAGCCGCCATGCCCAGCCCTCTGCCCACTTTTTAATGAGGTTATTTGTTGTTTGCTTGTTGATCTGTTTTAAGTTCCCTATAGATTCTGGATATTAGACCTTTGTCTCATGCATAGTTTGTGAATATTTTCTCTCATTTTGTAGGGTGTTTACTTTGTTGACAGTTTCTTTAATGTGTCAAAGCTCTTTAATCAGGTCCCATTTGTCAATTTTTGTTTCTGTTGGAGTTGCTTTTGAGGACTTAGTCATAAATTCTTCGCCAAGGCCAATTTCCAGGAGAGCATTTCTGAGGTTTTCTTCTAGAACTTCTGTAGCTTTAGGTCTTACATTTAAGTCTTTAATCTGTTTTGAGTTAAATTTTGTATATAGTGATAGGGGTCTAGTTTCATTCTTCTGCATATAATAGCCAACTATCCCAGCACCATTTATTGAACAGGGAGTTCTTTCTTCATTGCTTATTTTTGTTGACTTTGTCAAAGCTCAGATTTTCTAGATGAATAGCTTTATTTCTCGGTTCTCTATTCTGTTCCTTTGGTCTGTGTCTGGGTTTTCTAGTTTACGTGCATAGGGGTATTGATAATAGTCTCTAGGATCTTTGTATCTTTATGGGATTGGTTGTAATGCCATCTTTGTCATTTCTGATTGAGCTTATTTGGATCATCTCTTTTTTCTTTGTTAATCTAGCTACTGGTCTATCCGTTTCGTTTATTCTTTCAGAAAACCAACCTTTGGTTTTCTTGATCCTTTGTATAGATTTTTGGGTCTCAGTTTTGTTCAGTTCTGCTTTGAGTTTAGTTATTTCTTCTGCTAGCTTTGGGGTTTTTGTTTTTCAAGTTCTTCTAGGTTAATGTTAGATTGTTATTTGAGAGCTTTCTAACTTCTCAATGTAGGCATTCAGTGCTCTGAACTTCATCTTAACACTGCTTTTGCTGCATCCCAGAGATTTTGGTACTTGTGTCTCTGCTTTTATTTATTTCAAAGAATTTTTTGATTTCTGTTATATGGTGGAACCACTTTAGCTGGTAGATATATTTCCTGATCTTTGACAGAAGTGGGTCAACCATGCTGTTGTTTGTGTGCATTGGAAGTTGTGGCTGTTATGCCATTGAAAAATTTAAATCTTAATATCTCATAACAATGTTAACTAAACTTTCATTTAGTGATGGTGTGGTACTGAAATATATCCCAAATCAATAACATTGGAATGGATGCTAAACATGATCTTACACGGAAAAAGGCTAAACAATCAGCCTGACATTTGGTGCTGTTGATTTGGGAGTAGATACTGTATAGACAAAAGTGCTTAGAAAATAGGATTTTAAAAGGCATTACAGTAGGAATATTTTTAAGCTCACAAAAAAATCACTTGATGTAGGGTAATGGAAAACAATACTGGTGATACGGTCTGGCTGTGTCCACACCCAAATCTCATCTTGAATTCCCATGTGTTGGAGGAGGGACCTGGTGGGAGGTAATTGAATCCTGGGGGCAGGTCTTCCTTATGCTGTTCTTGTCATAGTGAATAAGTCTCCCAAGATCTGACAGTTTTATAGGAGGGAGTTTCCCTGCACAAGCTCTCTGATTGCCTGCTGCCATCTGTGTAAGATATGACTTGCTTCTCCTCGCCTTCCGCCAGTATTGTGAGGCTTCCTCAGCCATGTGGAACTGTAAGTCCATTAAACACTTTTTCCTGTGTAAATTACCCAGTTTCGGATATGTCTTTGTCAGCAGTGTGAAAATGGACTAATTAAGCAAATTGGTACCAGGAGTAGGGTGCTGCTGAAAAGATACCCCAAATGTGGAAGCAACCTTGGAACTGGTTAGCAGGCAGATGTTGGAAAAGTTTGGAGGGCTCAGGAGAAGAGAGGAAAATATGGGAAAGTTTGGAAATCCCTAGAGACTTGTGGAATGGCTTTGGCCAAAATACTGATAATGATATGGACAATGAAATTCAGGCTGAGGTGGTCTCACGGAGATGAGGAACTTGTTGGTCGCTGGAGTAAAGGTGACTCTTGCTATGTTTTAGCAAAGAAACTAGTGGCATTTTGCCCCTGCCCTAGAGATTTGTACTTTGAACTTAAGAGGTGACTTAGGGTATCTGGCAGAAGAAATTTCTAAGCAGCAAAACATTCACGAGGTGACTTGGGTGCTGTTAAAGGCATTCAGTTTTAAAAGGAAACAGAGCATTAAAAAAGTTTGGAAAATCTGCAGCCTGACAATGCGAGAAAGAAAACCCCATTTTCTGGGGAGAAATTCAAGTCGGCTGCAGAAATTTTGATAAGGAATGAGGAGCTGAATGTTAATCCCTGAGATACTGGGGAAAATGTCTCCAGGGCATGTCAGAGATCTTCATGGCAGCCCCTCCCATCACAGGCCCAGAAGCCTAGGAGGAAAAAGTAGTTTTGTGGGCTGGGCCCAGGGCCCCCTTGCTGTGTACAGCCTAGGGACTTGGTGCCCTGTGTCCCAGCTGTCCCAGCTGTCCCCGCTGTGGCTGAAAGGGCCAATGTAGAGCTAGGGCTGTGGCTTCAGAGAGTGCAAACCTCAAGCCTTGGCAGCTTTCATGTGGTATTGAGCCTGCTAGTGTACAGAAGTCAAGAATTGGGGCTTGGGAACCTCCACCTAGATTTCAGAAGTTGTATAGAAATGCCTACATGTTCCATGCAGTAGTTTTTTGCAGGGTCAGGGCTCACACGGAGAACTTCTGCTAGGGCAGTGCAGAAGGGAAATGTGGGGTTGGAGCCCCCACACAGAGTCCCTATTGGGGCATCACCTAGTGGAGCTGTGAGAAGAGGGCCACTGCTCTCCAAACCTCAGAATGGTAGATCCACTGACAGCTTGTATGGTATGCCTGAAAAAGCCACACTCAATGCCAGCCCATGAAAGCAGCCAGGAGGGAGGCTGTATCCTGCAAAGCCACA